AAACCAAACCAAACCAAACCAAACCAAACCAAACCAAACCAAACCAAACCAACCAACCAACCAACCAACCAACCAACCAACCAACCAACCAAAGACAATTAATTGTATTTAGTGTCCTATGGCCATTATCAAAATTGGAAATGTTTTTAAAGCAAACCACTTTCTACCATTTAGAGTATTCAAATCTTCTAAACCCAATTATCTACATATCAAATACCCTCATCAGAATGTGCCAATCTAAATGCTGTCCCCTAAATAAACTAGTTAATTCTGTTTGCATAAGAAGCAAATTTTAGATTTTGTGTGTTACTGCTCCCTTGTCAGCAGAGGAATAGTGTCTGTCACGTGCATCTGAAATGGAGTAATGCAAGAAGATACAACTAAATGTTAACACTGATTATCTTTGATGCTACAACTGATATGTGTGTTGTTTCTCTGCTCATTCCTGTTTTCCCCTTCCAAATTCCTCATTTTCAAGATTCAAAAGTGTTTTTCTAAAGTTTAGTGTAGTTAGAGAGTGGCTGTTCTGTTGCTATTTAGGGCTCACACAGTAAGAAGCTGTAGCAGATTGTATGTATATCTGCTTGGGAAAGTTGTTGAGATCCAGCAACATGTATTCTAGACAGCTGTGGGGCAAACATTAACATCTTTGGTTTTCTTTTTCTTTCTTTTTTTTTTTTTAAATAGATTTACCAGAAGCTTCCAAGATGTTTAAAAACGCTTATGGATGCCCTTAAAGAAGACAAAATAGTCTTCCCTAGTGATGAAAAGTAAGTTAAGCAATGTCTGCTCTAACTCTTGAGGAACTGCCATGGCGGGAACCCAGGGTATAGGCATTATATCTCTCTGGATTTCATGCTGGTTCTAGGAGATGAGCATTAGATTTGGAGTAGGGTCTCTACACATTTCAGGATCTGCTGTTGTCCTTATGTCTGAGTCAATGTTTTCACCAACTCAGTGCTTTCTCTGATGTCATAAATACTCATTCATCTTTATAGACCCTGTGAAAGGCTGCTAGGGTCTAGTCTAATTATCTATGGGGGACCACTCACTGCTAGGTTTTATCCCCAAGTAGCCCAAACCCATGGTATACCAGTCAGCTGATCCAGCAATAGATACAATGATTAGAAATAATTAAAGAATGTTTCTAAATAAGCAGTCATTACTATATCCTTTTTCCTATTTCAGCACCTGAGGAGAGCTTGTCTTCTGAGCAGTAACCTCTAGTGATGAATTTGGAAGGATAGGGAAGTATCTGAGTAGGGCCTGAGAGGAAGTCTTTCTGCATGTCAGTGACCTTTTGTATTGCCAAACTGGGCTAAGCAGGTGGCTAATCACACCTGGGATGCTCATCCACAGGTGGGCAATCACACCTGGGATACTCATCCACAGGTGGCCAATCACACCTGGGATGCACAGCCACTCTCTGTTTTTATGGGGAGAAGTAAATAGTTACCAGAGAGACTCAGCTTCTCTGGTGGTTTTGTGATTTTTGAGTTATTTTATTTCATAGCATTTTAAAGATTTATTTATTTTAATTTCATGTGTGTAGATACTTTGTGGACATTGTATGTCCGGTGCCCAAGGAGGTGTCAGATCCCCTGGCACTGGAGTTACAAATGATTAGGAACTGTCACATGGGTCAACCAGAAGAACATCCAGTACTCTTACCCACTGGGACATCTCCCTATCTTGTAGGCTTTTAATTAAAAGACTTCAGGCATTACACAGTGGAGTAGAATGAAGAGAAAGATAACGTCTACTAGCGGGACACAAGTCAGTCATTTTAATGTGTAGTTTGTGAGTTAATTCAATTCAATTGTATGAGCAAATGAAACAGGGGAATGTGGATAAGGATTAAATGGTTAGCAGGTGAAGTTTTGCATACATAAAGCTGTGACTTTTTGGAAGGAAAATTTTATTTTATTTTTTTGTGCTTTGGGCAAACTTCATGTGTCACTAGAACTGTAACTTAAGAGCTTAGGTTGAATTCTTAAACTGGGCGTTTCTCTCACGTCTGCTCCTAGTGTGAAGTTTCTGTCATCCCCGCTTCTCATCTTGCATGGAGAAGATGACAAGACAGTGCCTCTGGAGTGTGGAAAGCAGGTAGCCCAAGAACTTTACCATTTCTTCATCTAGCTGACCCTTGATTGGATCGCAGAGGTCTCTGACATTAGAGGGGCTCCTCTACATCCCTAAAGAGCCATGTTCTCTGATCCAAACAGTGGGCATCAGTGTCCTTAGCTACCTAGTTTAAAGGAGTTTAGGGTTGGGGGGTAGACCTTGGTCCCTCACCTGGGGTCTGTGGCTAAGTGAGACTCCCATGTCACCTTCAACAAGTTTTCCTTTAAACAAACCTGTGCTGGAGCGGGCCCATAACAATTCTCTGAGCCTTTGCAGTGAGATGTGCTCAGAGGGAGTACGAGCTTCATTAGTGTTCTCTATTAGTCATAGGCATTCTGATCAGTAGCTGTAGAAACAGACACCTGATGATCTGGAGAGTCCCCCAGCCTCTAACTTGATGAGAAGCTCCCCAAGTCCCTTTCCCTTTTAGGAAAATCAGACCAGGAGGCCTATGGCTATATACAACTTTGTACCTTTGACTCTTGCCTTTACTACTTATGCAGCTCTATGAAATTGCACGCAGTGCCTACAGGAACAAAGACAGGGTCAAAATGGTTGTCTTTCCTCCTGGCTTCCATCACAACCTTCTCTGTGAAAGCCCCATGTTGATAAGAAGTGTGAGGTGAGAACTCTTGCTAATTGTGACCCCTGAGCTGCAACAGTGACCAGGCAGCACTGAGTTAGTTAGCTCAAGTGTGAGCTGACCTAAGTCCTTTTTCTGCAGAGACTTTTTGAGCCAGCAGTGGGCATGAAGGCTGGGACCAGCAGAAATCTCCAATGAAGATGTGGTATAAACCTCACCTGAGCTGGGTGGGTTCTTTATGCAGAATTGCACTGCGCTGCTTGGATGAGCTGAAGCCATTGAGACTTTCACAGGTCACCTGCCATGTGAATAAACAAAGCTGTATGGAAAGTTCTTTAGTTTACCATCGTCTGCCCTGAGAATCATGCCAAATCCTCAATGTGGAGAATCAGAACTTAATGCCCACCTATGAAACCTGCTGGGGATATTTGTAAGGTGGATGCTGGTGTATGAACTCAGTGTATGCCCCCAAGCTCCTGTGTTAAAATTTACCTATCAGAGTGATGGTATCAGAAGGCAGAGGCTTTCAAAAGTGGAGAGCCAGGATCTTATGAATGTAATTAGGTCCCTGAAACACAGGTCTAAAAAAGTTCTTTCTGTTTCTTCCATCGGGAAAAGACAGGATGAGAAGGTACCATAGGAACCAGAAAGTGGCTCTCACCAGATACAGCCTGTGGGCCTCTTCATCTTGGACATCTTACATCTCCAGAACTGTGAGACTAACTTTATGTTATTTGTAAGTTATCTGGATTATCACATTTTGTTATAACAGCTTGAACAGACCTAGACAGCAGCCTGGAGCTTGGATTCCAACAGTAGTGTAAGAAAGAAAACATTTTACCTTAGTTCATTTAAATGGCATTAAACAGTTCCAAGCAGTTTTCCAGCATCTGGATTATATTTTTATTGGTTATTTTATTTATTTACGTTTCAAATGTCCCTGTCGGTTTTCCCTCCACAAACCCCCATCCCTTCTCCCTACCCCTCTGCCTCTATGAAGGTGTTCTCTCCCCCCCCCCATTCCTGCCTCACAGCTCTAGCATCCCTTACACTGGGGCACTGAGCCTCCATAGGACCAAGGGCTTCCCCTCCCATTGATGCCAGAAGGCAGTTCTCTGCTATGCTAGAGCCATGGGTTCCTCCATGTTTACTCTTTGGTTGGGAGCTTTGGGAGGTTGATTACTTTTGAGGAAAGGAATCCTAGCAGGCTACTGATTGACAACTGGAAGTTGACATTTTATTTTTAGCTCTAATACAGATATATATTTTCCCTTCCCATCCCAGAGACACTTAACTATTCAATAACAAAAATAGAATCAGGGAAGCTCTAAAGTACTCAAGTTCTATAAGAAGTTATTGAATAAGAGTATATTTTAACATTCACTTCCCATTGGCTTTGACCCCATTGCTGGACTCATTGGACAGGGAAATCTTCAGATCTGAAGGCTCCATGTTCCAAATGTCCTTGGCATACTCCTTAATTGTTCGGTCACTGGAGAACTTCCCTGAGGCAGCTATGTTTTTGAGTACCATTGTGTTCCAGGCTTTTTGATTCTGTGAATAACACAAATATGTACAGTGTTAGTATAAGTCCGAACTCAGTGACGTCACATTCAGGTAACAGGTGACTTCTACATTGTTGCCAAGGCAACTGATATACACTCCCACAATTCACCTGGCTACCTCACCTGTACCTGGGGAAAAAAGCTATGTCAATGTCTGTACAAATAGGCGGAACTCCCCCAACATCGCTCTCTCTTCTCTTCTCCCCACCCCCCATCTTCTCCCATTTCTCTCCCACCCTCTGCCCTGAATAAACCCCTTCCCGTGGAACCAGCTGGTTTGCTGTGGTCTGTTCTAAGCTGCGTGCTGAAATCTTTCACTGGTGCATTGGACTGGGTCCGAATTCTTCGGGCATCGTGTGGCAGCTCCTGCCAGCCGCCAAGGCCACTGTAACCAGGCAGGACCAGGGGCCATGTGGTTCACCTGCCACCTCCAATGCCACAGCCCCACCGCCACTGCTATACCACGTGGACTTCATCTGCTGCTACCCGCTATCACTGAGTGTGTGTGTGAATTAACATCCGATGCTACAACCCCCATCCACTGCTGTGAGGCTCGCCAAATTTTCACTGCGTGAGCTGTGCCACTGCAGCCGCCTGTGTGGTGCTCTGCCACGTGGGCTGGGTAGCAAGGCAGGTAGCCAGACCTCTGGTTCCACCTTTCCTGATATCAGACTGCACAAACTCGAAAACATACACCAGTATATTAATTGGTAAGGAGTTTCAGGTTGGCAGGAGGGACCCTGAATGCCCGGTTAGCGCCTGGCCAGCATTTTCTGGACTAAGAGGTTGGCTTTTCATGGCCCCAGTCCATATGACTGGCCTCTAGCCAACCTACAACTTAAGACATTGGCTTGTTGGGTGATTTTTTTCCCTCTTGGAAATAGTTCCCCCCTCTCCCAAGCTCTCGAAGCTGTCGGAAGTCCTGGTACCAGGCGGCTATTTCCTGGCTGACTAGCTTCTGGTGGGCTAGCTCTGCCAAGGCCCTTAGATAGTCTCGTGATGACCTGATTATTTAGGCTGAGCCTGATTTCCGTTACCAGTTTTTCTTTTGGGACGCCGGCTGATAACTTGGTAACAGCCATGATCACCCAATGGGCGAATTGCCTTCGTCCATACCCATAGACACCCCACTGGGTTGTCTACTGAAAAACCTCAAATCTTTAAGATTAATGCCTGAGTTGAGGCCTTCCAAATTAATACACCTTTGCAATAAGGTCTGGATCTGATGCCCTCTAGATAATGGACTAAAGTGGCCACTTAATGGCACCCTAGACCCGATTATTTTAAGGAGTCTTAACACATACTGCCAGCAGTCTGGTAACTGGAAAGAAGTCCCTTATGTCCAAGCATTCATCTACTTCTGTTATACCCCCTCCATGTGTTCTGCCTGCTCCCCACCCAAGGTTCTCTTAGCCATGACACCTGCCCAACCCCCAGATGAACACACACCTTTGACCCAGCTGGTGAACCTCCTCCCTTCCAACACAGGCCTGCTTCGATGCTGCTGAAAACCCAAACTGCTGCCTCAGTTTCTTCTTCTCACCAGGGTGCCTCTGAGTCTACTGGCTCGATCTCCCCAGACCCTTCCCCTCCTTCTGTGTCAGCTGCAGGCCATAATAACTGCCCTGCATTGGCACCAACCTTCACCCCTCATATCACGCATTGTAAGGCCAAGGGTCCAACTCCTTCTCCTCCAGGGACACCAAAACCAGCATCTGTTCTTCCTCTAAGGGAAGTGGCTGGTGTTGACAGCTTGGTCAGGGTACATGTCCCTTTCTCACTGAGTGAACTCTCTCAAATAGAGAGCAGACTGGGTTCCTACACCTCTAACTCCTCTGCCTTCATTAAAGAGTTCTAATACATCTCTCAGTCCTACAGCCTAACTTTCCATGACGTACATATGATTCTTACTAATAACTTATGCGTCCTGATGAATGCAGGTGAGTTTGGGATGAGGCAAAAAAAATGCATGCAGATCAGATTCATCAAACAGACTGAACATATCCAATCGGATCGGAAGCAGTTCCTGACCAGGATCCTCGATGGGATTATAATTCTGCAGGTGGCATCTTAGCCAGAGATAGATTTATAACATGTCTTTTGGCAGGCCTGAGGAAGGCGGCATTAAAGCCAGTTAACTTTGAGAAACTCCCAAGAGGTTGTCCAGGATAAACAGGAAAACCCGTCTCAATTTTTAGAATGCCTTACAAAGGCCTTACTGCAGTACACTAATCTGGACACTGAAAACCTGGAAGGAAAGCAACTTCTTATGACCTACTTTTTTTTCCCAGAGCTACCCTGACATAAAAACTAAACTTAGGTGATTGGAGAGGGGGCCCCTAACTGCACAGGTGGAAGTCTTGGCACTGGCCTTCAAAGGGTACCATGAGAGAGATGAGAAAGCTGGAAAACAGAAATACCATATGCTGGCAAAGGCTGTCCGACCAGCCTCAACCACTACCCAAGACTCCTGGTCTTTGAAGGCTCAGAGACCACCTGGCCCCTGCTATAAATGTGGTCAACATGGTCATTGGGCGAAGGCTGCCCCAACCCCAGCAAGCCAAGGGGACTATGTCCCAGGTGCCATCAGAGGGGACATTGGGGTGCCGACTGTCCTCATGTCGCTCAGAACAGAGGGACATCGCTCCCAGAAAACCCCTCAGCTGATCTTTTAGGCTTGGGCATGGAGGACTGATGGGGCCTGAGCTCTCTCGACCCGACCACACCTATCACTAGCAGGGAGCCACGGGTAGAGATTATGGTGTGTGGAAGACCCATCTCCTTCCTCTTGGACACTGGGGCCACTTATTCGGTCCTGACGGAGTTTTGGGGACCCACCTCACCTTCACATTCTCCTATTGTCGGGATAGAAGGACAACCTTACCTTCCTCACCAGACCCCCCACTTAGTTGCATTTTTAGGGATGTACCTCTCACCCATTCCTTTTTGGTAGTGTCTACATGTCCTGTCCCCTTATTGGGAAGAGATATTTTAGCTAAGTTGGGAGCTTCTATTTCTTTTGCTCCACCAATTCGCTTAAGCCCAAGCTTGCTAGCAATTCCTCTGCTCCTCCTTTTAGCCAGTCACCCTACTAACACTAACATGTTATTTCCCTTACCAGCTTCTCAGGTGGACCCTCGAGTTTGGGTTCAGAACCCCTCTGTTGCTAAATATCATTCTCCCGCTGTCATCCAGTTGCTGGACTCTACCAGGTACATCTGCAAAGCCCAATACCCTCTTTCTCTCCAGAGCCTCAGGAGACTTAAGCCTATCATTTCTGACCTCTTAAGGAAAAAACTCCTTCGACCTACCTCTTCCCCCTTTAACACCCTTATACTGGCAGTTAAGAAACCTAATGGAGGGGCTGGAGAGATGACTCTGTGGTTAAGAGCACTGACTCCGCTTCCAGAGGTCCTGAGTTCAATTCCCAGCAACCACATGGTGGTTCACAACCATCTGTAATGGGATCTGATGCCCTCTTCTGGTGTATCTGAAGATAGCAACAGTGTACTCAAATAAATAAATAAAAATAAATAAATAAATCTTAAAAAAAAAAGAGCGCATGCAATCCAGTTCTTTAATTTAAAAAAAAAAAAAAAAGAAA